TTTTTTTTAGTTTTGCATTTTGAAACATTGCAAGTTTTCTGGCTGTTGTCCTTGATGATGAAAGAGTCCCTAGAATGCCATTCCTGTCTGCCTCAGTATGTCTGCTGTTTTTGTATTTAGGAGTGTTCAAAATCTTTGTGGGAGCAGCCTTATAGCATACAGGCTGCACTGAGCAGTGACAGATGGGGAGTAAAACAGGGCTGCTGCATTTATAGCCTTCTTGCGAAAATATATATGGGGCTGAGTGTGTGCAGCATCCAGTAACATTGAGCTTATTCTTACTGGCAATTATTTTCTTGCTGATCTGGTCATCGGGTTGCTTTCCAGGAAACAAAAAGGTTGCTGGTATGACTAAAGACAGCAAACAGTCAGGCTGGTGTTTGTTTTGGCAAAGATTTGTAGTCAGCGCCGTACAGATGTGTACATGAATTGCAAGTATTACTCTCCTTAAAGATCAGTTGTTTTCCTCTTTAAAGGAGATAATCAAGGAGGAGGTGTAGGGACAGGCTGTACTAGATCCTGGGCTTTTTTTTTAGCTATAAATAAATAGGATAGACAGTTACACAAAAAAAGTTACCTAAAATTATTTTAGAAACTCTTGATATGCCATTGTGTTGGAACACTGTTCAGTAAAAAGCTGCAAATGATGTATTATGGATTTGTTTTTTAGCAACTTGGAAGCTCTGAAATGTCTCAAATCCAAATAACTGGAGTTTTCAGCTGCAGCTTGGTGGGTTATGTTAGAAATGAACTACAGTAAAAAAACAAAAGACAAGAGCTTCCTTTCTTTGTGCAAGAGTCAATTTCTGAAGTTCTGTTTCACATAAACATTGTAAAGTTGGGCCTAAATTGTCAGGTTTTAATCACAGGATCATGAAATGTGTATTGACTTCTCTGAATGGTATGTTGCATGGTCAACAGTGTTGAAGTCAAGATGCCTCATATAGACCTCAGAGCTTTGTAGGTAACAGAGCCTGGGGAGCAAAGTAGATATCACAATTTAAAACTTTTTAAATCAAGAGACCTACCCTGAACTGCATGTATCCATGGTTCAGTTTTTTAAAACAAAGTTTAATATCTCTATGGTTAGCCTTCAGAATGTCTTTAAAATGTTCTGAAGAATAGTACTTTTGAACTGAGGATATAAGTAAATAGTATTTAGTTCTACTGATTTATATTTTTGGTAAGTTATACTTCAGTAGTTATTACCAACCCATTTATTTTACACTTTAGATTCTCATAATGCTTGAAAATAAAATCTTGTTACTCAGTGTTCATACCATTTATTAATTCTAAATCTTTCATTTAGAGAGTGTTTTACTTTATTTTAGGATATATTGTGTCTGTTTTCTACAATAAAATATATTTATAAGAAACAGCAATGAAAGAAAGTACTTTCTTTCAGGAAAAAAAGTACCTTCTAAACAATAATGCAAATTTCTTGGAGTTGCATAAAAGAGCAGTCTGTGTTGGCAGGGTTCTTTGTGTGAGTTCTTTGTTGTAACTGAGAATCCACTTATCTATGTTTATAGTGGTCTGAGAAGAAGGTTGCACCTCTGCTTTATTTGATAATTGCTGCTGTTACTATAGTGCTGTTTAGCATTCTGAAGTTGGAAAATGGATCCAATTTATTTGCAACAAATAGGGAGTGCTGGAGAGGGAATGAAGTTAAATTTAAATTTTTCATTAATGCAAAAACTTAGGAAAGTCTTAGAAAATCTTGCAATTTCCTATTAATGCACAACAATATAATTAATGCAGCCTGTTAAAAATTCTTTGACGAAAGTTTGTATTAAAAACCTATTCTCCTATGTAACATTTAGCTTCCATAATATTGAATGCAGGGTCTTAAAGAGAGTGTCATCTTTCAAGATAAAACTTGGATTTATTCCCAGAAAATATCCTGTTAATTGAATGCGATAGCATAGAAAAAATAGTTTTGGATAATGTAGTAATAAAGACAGAATTAATGCTAGTAGGCAAACTTAATTGGAGGAAACCCAAAGAATTAGAACTCCTTGGTATTTATTTGTTTAATATCTTGTAAAAGTGCTTCTATGTATCTAGCCAGTTAAAATCAACCTACAATAGCAAAACAAGAAGATATTCTGTGATATGGGTGTCAGGTTAATAATTAGCAGGATTGCAGCTTTTAAATCTAGTATATGAACACTACTGTTGCTTAAATTAAGAGAGTAATGAAGTTATGGGTTGTTATACTGTCTTTTTAGCAGTAGTAGAGGAAAGTGGGATGTTTTGTCTGAGCAGGAGGAGGAAGGAGCTTGTAGATACTAGTAGAAGATACTAAGTCTTTAGGGTATCTTAGTGTTTCCAATAGCTTCTGAAGACACAAACCTTTTTTAAGGTTTTTGCTCATACTTCCAGCTTTTCTCTGCCTCAAGCCAGTTTCTAGTGCAGCAATGCATCAGTCTTTTCAATCAAATATTTAGGCCTGACTAGTCCCAGACTGTCTCTTGACTGCACCTTGTCTCTCTGCTGTCGACCCTTGCCTGCCTACTTATTCTTCTCTCTCTCCCTTGCTTCTTCTCTTTTAGCTCTTGTCTATATTTCTGATTCCTGTTGGTGGGCCCTTTTTCAGTCTTTTGTTGTGAGCCAGCTCCCTTCCTGCTGTGGAATCCAATTCTGTCAGGGACAGAATATCTGTCCCTTATTCTATCCAGTCTTGGTGATCCCCAGGTCTGAGTTATTCTGCTTCGCATTGCTCATTTGGCTTAATTCACTGCCACATCTTACAGTCCTGTTTGTTCTTTTCCTTGTGTAGTCAGTCCCAGTTTCTTATGTCAAGCTTCCAGTTCTGATCTACATTACAAGCTGTTTTTTCCATCTTCCCTCCACATGCTTGGTCAGTATACCCTAAATGCTACTCAGTTGCCCTACAATATGAAGTGACAGACCACTGTTTTCCACTATGTTAGGGATATTAGCATAGGAGAGGCTGCAGAAATATGCAAGGCAACACTTTTTGTTCAGTGTTTTACCTAATGCCTCTTAAATGCAGACTTCTCTTACAGTGAAAATCTGAGTCTTCACTCATAACCAGAGGTTAGAGGAAACTTAGTTCAGTTGCTTTGCACATGGAGATGATAGACAGAAGGTCACTGAGGATGGATTGTTTGGTGACTGGTTGTTAATCTCCAGCAGATCTTGCAAAAAGTAGGTACAGACTCTGATTTCTAGAAGCTTGTAGCTTACCTAGGTCAGGTCACATTTGTCACAAAATGAGCAGAGTGCACCTCTCTCATACAAAAACATTGCCCAGTCTGACTCCAAGTTACTGATTCTGGTCAGGAAAGTGGTTACAGTTTTTCAAAGGAAGAGCTGACAAGGGCTTTTTTCTCAGGTCCTTTCACAGTAGAAAAATGTTCCAGCCATTCTCTGAGTTCCTTTGAAAGGTGATGGAAAGGGATGGTGAGGAACAGCTGCCTGAAGCAGACAATAGACATGGAAAATTTCATACTGAGTAGTTAAAAAAAGCAGCTGAAAATTGTCTTAAGAACTGCCAGGTGGCTTTGATAACAGCAGGTATCACTAGCCTGTCAGAGCTTCTTTGTTAGGGCTTGTTGTAGTTGTGTGTAAAGTAGGGTGATAAGTGTGTAAGTGTGTTTCTTTCCTTTTTTTTTTGGCATTTTATAATTTATTTATTTTTAATTAACCCTGAATATAGCAAAGCAAACTTATCTATACTGCTTTTGATATCTAGCTGATGTAAAATACAAGTCCATTGTGAAGCCTTTAGGGAGTATGTCTTGAATCAATTTAGTAAAAATGCTGTTGAAGCATAGAGAACAGAGAAGTAGGAGTGATAGGATAACCTTACTTTGGTAGCAGAATCTTGCCATGTTTGAAGAGCTGCTCTCATTTTTTGACTGATGAAGGTGAGGTGGCCTACAACAGACTTAAGTTGTTCATTAGTTTTTTGGCTGTGAATAGATGCTTTGGGTTTAAAAATATACTTTAGAAGTCTCATTATAGAACTGATGTATCCAGGCACTTGATCACTTTTCTTTAAACGTGGTAGGCATTAGCAGTACAGCAGCCAAAAATTGCCAACATACACTGCTCAATCTCAATGTGCTGAATTGCAAGATGTGATGATTATCAAGATGAAAAAAATAGAATTTTGGACATGATTTTTTTTCCATTTGTTTTTTTAGGCCATGGCTGAATAATTATAATGCCTTAAAGGGTACAAAAGAGATATGCTGTGTAGTTCGAACTAAATTGGCAGACTGGTTTTGATATTGTAAGAAAACATAGAATTTCTGTAGGTGCCTAGCCCTTGAATGCAACAAAACATGATAAAAATCAAAAGAGCAGTCACTGGAGCATAATAGTAATGAACAGTAAGTATAGGAATTGTGAGGTAGCTGTTACATTCCCTTCCTTAAAACCCTGTTGGTTTGGGGTTTTTTGCCTCTTGGTTTTTGGTCTCTGTTTAGTTTTGACTTGTCTATTGCAATATATTGCTGCATTTTTGTCGTTTGCGTGGTCATAGGATCATAGAATCAACCTGGTTGGAAGAGACCTCAAAAGATCATCGAGTCCAACCCTACCATGATTACTGAACCATGGCACTAAGTGCCACATCCAGTCTTGTCTTGAAAACCTCCAGGGATGGTGAATCTACCACCTCCCTGGGCAGCCCATTCCAATGCCTGATTACTCTCTCTGTAAAAAATCTTTTCCTAATACATACGTGAGAATTAGAAGTATACAGAAGACCCTTGGCCATCTTGGAAAACCTGAACAGATAAACTTGTAGAGTAAGGCATGTGTTAAAAATAGCTTTCCTTTCAACTTCTGTATCTGAAGTATATACTGTCAGAGATTTGGGGGGAAAAGAGTGAAAAATAAATCAGTTTTCTTATTTTTAATGGTAATTCTGCTCAAGCAAAAATATTGGCAATGGCAGGCCATGGTTCAGATGCTAAAAAAGAATCCTTTGACT